TCTCTCTCTCTCTCTCTCTCTCTCTCTCTCTCTCTCTCTCTCTCTCTCTTTCTTTCTTTCTTTCTTTCTTTCTCAATACAAGATGTGGATACAAAGTGGGTACTTTTGTTCCCAAGAATCATCAAGTATGAGCACTATAGTTACCTTGTTCTCCACAGCCTTTACTTCCACTTTTTCTTATCATTCCTCCAAAAATTAGTATAAGGCAAGGGTCTTCAAACTTGGCAAGTTTAAAACTTGTGGACTTCAACTCCCAGAATTCCTGAGCTAACATGACTAGAGAAGGAATTCTGGGAGTTGGTCCACAAGTCTTAAAAGCTGTCAAGTTTGAAGACCCCTGGTATAAGGGATCACTACCTTTGCCCATGACAGGCCATTAGGAAAGAAACAGGCCAAGGTCTGAGGACAATTCCCAACTGTGATGGTCAGAAGGTACCATCAGCATTTCCTGATCAAACAGTGAGCCTTGTGTCCCATTGCTGTGAAGTCCCATGTTCTTCTGGCTGGTTACTGCTGATATCGGAACCACAGCAATGTTGCTGCCATACAATTGACGCAATAGTTATGGGAAATATAATACTTACAAGACTCAGCTGCTGGGTGCTGCTTGGAATGCTACAGAGGGAGGGAAATTAATGGCACTCCCTATCAGCAACAGACAACTGCTGAGAAAAACCTTTCCCTAACCTTATGTTACCGAATGAGCCCCCAGATTTTCAATTATTCTGTGCAATTGCACATTTCATGCTGTCTGGAAAATGGGAAATTGGCGAGAGATGAACCCCCAGGTTCATTCAGGTTAATCAGTTCCACGACTGCCCCAAATCAAGAGTCTCATTCATGAAAAGGACAAGCAAAGATTGCATTGTATGGGCTGGAGGGGTCAGTTCCTTACCCGCCTCTGGCAAACTGTGCCCAGTATCTCATTGTCTGACGGCTCAATGCTTCCTCAGCCTCTGTGACGGATTGGTTTGTTGCTGACGCCATGGTTCCAAAGACATACGGTATCTCTGCTCCGTGGGGTGTCCCTACCCACTCAGGCCAGCCAGAGCCAGAAGGGTGGTGACTGAAGGAGTAAACATACGCTGACTTCCTAGCTTTTCTGATCTTTGCAGCAAATTCAACCAAGGGGCACACCATGAAATAATCTCGCATATACTGAGAAAACGCCAAACGGTATTGCCCATGATTAGCTTCACTGAATTTCTGGGCGACGGTGTGCGCAACTTCTTTTTTGGTCCCTCTTCGCATAGTTATTGTCACACCTTGGAGAAGCTGTTCCCATGTTAATATTCCTCCATTTGTTTTTGTGTTCGAATACATAAGCAATACAAAAGCAGAGCCTTCATCATCAGTGACCCCAGTAAGAATTGGCTTTCCCTGAAGAACTGCAGCATCCAGCAAATTTGGGACGTTGCCTGGGAGGAAATTGCCATCTGTGGTCAATGAGTTGATCAGAGTCAGCAGAGTAAAGTTCTCGTGTCCAAATTCTATCTCCTGTAGGCAGCTCACCACAGCACCGTCACTATCTTTTGCGCACCCCGCTTGTTTGCTGAGCATTATTGCATCTCTGTGAGCCTCTTGGGGGCTCTTCCAGGGCCAAATGGCATTGGGGACGCCACTCTGAAGCACTGCACGGGCAAAAAGGGGCTGGCTCAGTGGGGAAAGGAGATGGCAACCCACCAAAACTGCTCCTGCACTTTGTCCAACCAGAGTCAACTGAGCTGGGTCTCCCCCAAAAAGAGCGATGTTCTCCTTCAGCCAATTTAGGGCCAAATGTTGGTCCCACAAGCCCATGTTTCCCGGGGCATAGGGTGGCAAGTACAAAAAGCCTAGGCCCCCCAAGCGATAATTCATGGAAGCTACTATGACGTTCTCTGTAGCAGACAAGATGGCTCCGTTATAGATATCTAGGGAGGCTGTGCCTGTGATAAAGCCCATGCCTTGGATCCATACAAGGACAGGCATTGGTCTTGAGGGTCGAGGGTGGGGTGCCCAGATGTTAAGAAAGAGACAGTCTTCTGAAAGAGGTGTGTTGGGGACCCATATGTCTTTATCAGGAAAGCCAGTAATATGAGTCTGGGGACACGAGTTGCCAAAACTGGTGGCCTCCAAGACTTCACTCCATGGTTGACGTGGGACGGGCTTTTGAAAACGGAGTTTCTTCACTGGAGGTTCCGCATAGGGGATTCCCAGATAGGCAGTTGCAGACCCGTATCTAGTCAAGACTATTTTGCCTTTAATAGGGCCACTGCTGGTCACGACTGGAGTGTCATTATTGGAAGCACATTTGCAAACCAATGAGAGGAAGAAGAAAAGGCTCAAACGTGACCAGAAGAAGTGAAGCATGATAGCTATATCTGAAAGAATCAGAAATACAAAATGGTTGACTGGATATAACTCCTCCTGTGTAATGCAACTTAATTTGAACGTATGAATGCATAAATCCATTTAAAGATATATTTTGGAAAGTTTAAATTGGTTTTGATTCAACACAGCTCAACCCAAGCCAGACTGAGTAGCTGTGGGGGTTTTGGTTCCAGAAACCTTCTATCTTTGGGTTCTACATCGGTGTCTTTGACTCAGAAAGGCCCAGTGCACAATCTGGGGGCCACAGTAGACAGATAAGAATAGACAGTAACCATTGCTAGGAGGGCCTTTGCGCAACTTGGGGCTGTGTGCACAACTTGGGCAGTGATGGGATTCAAAAAATTTAATTACCAGTTCTATGGGTGCAGCTTGGTGGGCGTGGCATGGCTTGGTGGGCATGGCAGGGGAAGGATACTGTGAAATCTCCATTCCCACCCTACTCCAAGGGAAGGATATTGCAAAATCCCCTTCCCTCCCCACCCCACTAACCTGCTTTCCAGCTCCGTTCTCCTGTGCAGAACAGAAGATCCAGCCAATCAGATGGGACTCGCGAGGCAGAGAATAGATGGGGGCAGGGCCAATCAGAGGTGGTATTTGCTGGTTCTCCGAACTACTCAACATTTCCACTACCAGTTCTCCAGAACTGGTCAGAACCTGCTGAATATCACCTCTGAACTTGGGACTGTGTGTCAAGTGTACCCATTCCTGGATCTGCTCACAGTCACTCCTGCAGAGGTGGCATTCAGCAGGTTCTGACCAATTCTGGAGAACTGGTAGCGGAAATTTTGAGTAGTTCGGAGAACCGGCAAATACCACCTCTGACTGGAGATTTTACAGTATCCTTCCCCTGCCATGTCCACCAAGCCACACCCACAAAACCAGTAGTAAAAAAATTTGAATCCAACCACTGCACTCATGCCCTTGTGATTTTCAGATTGGACTACTGCAACATGCTTTAACATGGAGCTGCTCTTGGTGCAGGCAATTACTGGTGCCAATTACTCAAAACATGTGACATCACTGGTTCGCAAGCTGCATTGGCTTATTTTGTGCTTCTGGGTACAGTTCAAAACACAGGTTGTCAGCGGGTTTCTTAAGACTGGGTTACTTATAAGACCATCTGTAGTAGCTACTGAGATCCTATAGATGGCACTAGATGCTAGCAGCAAACTGCAGTGTCTCTGATGCCTCTGGGGACCTCTTTGTTATTACATGATCTTATCCTCTATCTTGGGTTGGAAAGTCCCAGACTTTCCAAACTTATAGATGATCTCATTTTACTAACATTACCACTAGTCTTAAGGATTGGTTGGGAGGTTGTACCAATGTGGTTGGGAGGTGGTTGCGGTATCTATTCTCCAATCCAAATGCTGTATCTATACTACTCTTCCTTGCTTGTAAAAATGGTATAAAAGAATAAACACTGCCCAGGCAGTCAGACATCTTGGCACCCTGCACAATGACTGATCTTTGAAACCCATCAACCATCTCTACCCAATGGGAGACTGTCTCTCCCCAAGGTCTTCCCAATAGTTACTTATGAGCTCTCCTCAATGGTTTCTCTGGCCTATCTGAACTAGCAGGAAACGCATGGTTTGGGTACTGTTAACTAGGGAGCATCAGCTGGCAGACTTTAGAAGAAGAGCTTTATCTGCTATGGTGCTAAAGATAAATTAAGAACAATTCATATATATATATATATATATAT